AAAAATATATTGACATGAATAAATGTGTATATATTGACATGAATAAATTTGTACAACTATCTTGGGCCTTGCCAGCATTCATAGATAAGCATCTAGATCCAATATACTATTAGCAGGAAAACTTCTGTGCTAGCAAACCTCCATGACACTTTTCTGTTCAATCAATGAATCAATCAATCAATTCTTTGTTCAGTCACTGAACAGCAAATAAAATACAAAATTAGTTAAAATAAGGAAAATACTAAAATTACAGTTAATTAAGATAAGGAAAATGAAATTATTCTAATAAATAACTCTAACATTTTGAGTTGATCCTACAGCAGACTTTATTGAACAATACTTGGCTGTGGTCAAAGAAATAAAATCAGATTGATCAAATAAAAGCATCTTAAGATTTAAAAAAGGATCCGAATGAACAGGATATTTAGAAAAGAGTGGGAATATCAATTCCTAGCGAGCACCTGCATAGAGAGGACAATAAAGAATAATATGTACCAGCTATTCAATTATTTCTCCCCACATGGACACAGTCTTTGTTTGAAAGGGATTTTTTGATATCTGCCTTCTGTAACAGCTGCTGCGAGGACATTGAATCTAGCTAAGAACAGAGCCCTTCTGAATTTTGGTCAGGAAGGTGTTTCTGGATATAATTGGATAATCTGCTTGTAGCTCTAAATCAATGGCCCACTGTTTCAGTTCTGCTAACGCTCAGTTCATAGCCCATCAAGATGATAGCTGGCCATGAATAACCATATAATTGCAGTTTGGCCTGAATTGCCTGGCTGCAGGAGCTTTGAAAGCTATCAGTCATAATTAGGGGGACCAAGCCAACTGGAAAGAAGAGCTTGAGTCAGTAAGAAAAGATGAAAATCCAGGCTGTAGTTTCAATTTTGAGAAGGCCAAGCTGTTCATAAGCCTAAGATCCACAACTGGCTGCACAACCAAATGTGAAGTAGAGCTTCTGTTAGATGCTCCTTTGTGCATTCTTCAGAAGGCAATTTCATTTGCACTAGCAGAATGACACTGCTGTATTCAATCCAAGGTGAACCACTTCCTGTATTGAAAACTGCCTGCACTCTTTGCATTGGTTCACTTTCTTAGCTGCCCAACCATTTTGTGAAGATGTTGTGTCCCTTAACACACACACAAATGCGCACACATTTCTTCCCCTTTGAGATAGCTTTGTAACAGCTGGTCTTCAAATTCTTCAGCATAAGTGCATGAATGAAGAGAAGGATTTATGCAAATAAAGCTGTCAGAGCATTCTCAAAATGACAAATAGGTTTTTTTTATCTCCTACCTGGTGGTCATGTATCCTAATAGAATTAAAATGCTTCAGGAGGGGCTCTCCACTTCTTTAGGACACACTTTAGGCTTTGTCCAATGAAGATTTGGCTAACATAACTCTTTTAAAAATAAGTCTGAGGTTTCTCTTTAAAAATGTGTAAAAATAAGTTTGAGATTTAGGGAAAATAAAAGGAATTACATCCAGGACTATCTTCACTGATTTCATAGAAACATAGAAACAGAGCAAGTCAGAAGGGACCTCCTGGGCCATCTAGTCTGACCTCCGGCACCAGCCGGCTCCGTTCACACGACATGCCCACCATGTGCCTGTCAAGAATAAAGTTGCCCTCTCTGAGGCATGAACTCAGGACCTTCAGATTATGAGACTATCATCTCATGTCATGATAATAGATAGTTGAAAGCAAGTAATATTTTCTTTTTTGAGCAGAAGTCTAAGTTGAACTCAAAGGATTTCATGTCAAATGGATCAATAAATGGAAGGAAGAAAAACAAGCCACAGAAATATCATCTTGGAAATATTTTACCAACATGTCTAAGGCATAGCTATGCAATAGATACATTAATGAGAAAACATGTCCCACAGAAGCCTACGCGCTTTTTCATTAAGAGGTGCTATGGCACAATTGGGTGGCATACAAATATTTTAAATAACTAAACAAACAAACAAGCAAGCAATTTGCTCTGTGTGCCCACAGTCTAATATGAAGGAAGTGGCAATGTTGTGCAAGTCTTTTTCAGTGATGGTGGAGGCAGCGTGATTGAATGTACACCTTGTTTCCTCCCTGTTATATTTTAGGTAGCTGGCCAACATTTTAATCTTCTGGAGTGCTTTGCATTTGCATGACGTGTGGTTTGGGCTTACATTGTTAATTGTCGATCATGCTTTGCTGCTGTTTTGATGAGCTGTTGTTGCATGCATGCATGCATTCATTCATTCATTCAATTTATATCCCACTCCATTAGCCAAAAAGGCTCTCTAAGTGGAATATAATTATATGCTATTGAATAGAAAGGCGAGACAACAATGTTTGGATGAATAAATATAAAATAAATTAAACAGTGCTAATAAACATTACCCATCAATTGCAAGGGTGGAATGTTTGGGTGGTCAAGCATTTTAAATTAAACTGGTTTGGTCTTAAGCCACACCTACCACTCAAACATGAAGGAAAGAGTCTGAAAGTGAACTGTAACTATCCAGTCAGAAAGGAGAACATTGTGCTCCAGGGTAGTTTCCACACCAGTTCTTGTTATGGAACAACCAATCAACAGTAAAGGACCAGCATTTTTTACATGTTCACTGGTGCCAATTAAGGATCCAAGCAAGTATCCCTGGCAGGTTCTCAGCATCTGCAAAGCGGAGGCCTTCAGAAACGCTAATCTTCTGAAATGGGACTTCCTCACCTCCAATCCAATATGCTAATATAGGACATTTCATTTCCATTGATTTGAGTGAGGTTTGAACATGCTACTTCCCCCATTCTTTGCATCATGAATGCTGCCTGGCTTTTGCTTACAGTTGTAGGACTTTTTCATAGGATTGCACCTTAAATCCTTTAATAATATTCATCAACCCTAAATAGTCTCAACTTTTGCAGGAGCTGAAGCAGAACTGAGAAATGTCAGAGCCTGGAGAGATTTTGGGTCATTTGATAGCCTTGCAAATGAAGAAATCCTGTTTCCATCCTGTGTTGCCACCTACTCAGCAGGATGTGGGATTCCTGTTCTGTACCTTGGTCAGCAGTGCCTGTGCAACATGACATTCAATTCATGTTGAATGACATTTCAAAGTTATCCAGAGAAGATGCCTTTTAGAAAGCTTTATTTTGTTTCCCCCTCCATGTTACAGCAAGAAGGGGGAGAGGGAAAGCTCAGCAGGAAGGTCTGCTCTAAACATATTGCATCCATCATAGATATTTTTCTTTCACTAGATTCCTAGCTCTAAAAGAGTGGCAGACAGAAGGTCTTTTGGGTTCTGCTGGTAGATCTCTGCTTAATCAGTAGCCAGCCTCACTGATCAATAGATCAGGCTCACTGAATTCCCATTATTTCACAACAGCAAATAGAAAAGCAAAGCAAAGCAAAGCAAAGCAAAGCAAAGCAAAGCAAAGCAAAGCAAAGCAAAGCAAAGAAAATCAAATCAAATCAAATCAAATCAAATCAAATCAAATCAAATCAAATCAAATCCAACCTCTGGCATGGGTTGCCTTTTGATAATGGGTAGCTCACCTCTTATCCTCCATGTCCTTGAATCATAGAATATACATATTAATTAGTTACCTTCAATACCAGCATTTATGCAGCCCACCTAACCACATTGAATGTCATCTTCTTGTTGTTAGAATCCCTACTCTAGAGTAAATCAGATGTCGGTATTTGCACAATGTATAATTGACTCAGCTCAGTATTTTGCACCTGCCTTTGGTTGTGAACCTTGGGGTTCTGCTAAACAAGAAAATAGTTCTCACAAGGCTGAAGTCTGCCCACATTTGATCCAAAATAATTCCATAGTATATTCAGCTGGGAAATCCTGCTAGAAGAATCATCACATGGTAGGAAAGGGATGTGTAAATGGATCCTGAATCAGAGAGGAGCAGAATTCAGTAACCTCATGCTACTCTTGGCATGATGTTAGTTTTCCACAATTGGTAAGGGAGCTACCAATTGCTGCACTTCCTTCTACAGAACAGATTTTGGTCACTGGTGTATCTCTTCCAAAGCTCTTAGGTAGATTATTCGTATATGCAATAGGAAAATAGTAAAAAAAAAGGGGGGGGGAGAAATGGGGCATGCACCCTCTGACACCTTTGCACACAAGTCTAGGCTAAACAAATGATGTTGAGAATAGGTATATTCTAAAGCAACTTTTGGAATGACTACAGTGGTTCTAAGGAACAATCTATGCTACACCACACACCAATCCATCGTTTCGGCCAAGTGAACGCGTTTTTCAGAATGAGCAGAATGACAGCCTGAAACTTTTTTCCAAATCCCATGTTAAGTGTAGCAATAGGGCAGGGGAAGGTTCTCCAGCAATGCCATGGATTACTAATTGTTCGGTAATAACCCGGTTTCGTCAATAGCACTTACACATGCCTGCTATCTTGCTAGTTGTTTCATGACACAAAGTAGGATAGCAGCCAAGGGATTCTGTTTGTTGTTGGATTTCTACAGATGTTTCTACAGCAACATTTGACCAGGTGGTTGCATTAATATATAATATTTTCCCATAATGAATTTGCATGTCATGAAATGAGGGTTTGCATAATTTTCAGTGAATAAACATATCCATTGAAGAACTTGTTTTATTATTATTTATTATTAATATTGAATACATACATTTATGAAATATTTTAAAATACATATTTATTATAATAAATAGAATGTAGACACTGTTTCAACAGCCAATGCATCATTATCGCAGTACATGGATTCCTAAAGTTAAATCATATACCCATCCTAAAATATTGCTATAAATAAGACTTTGTAAATATAAATTATGTCTGCCTTGCAATAATATAAATTTAAATAAATTATAATTAAATAGTATTGTATGCTAAAACAACTTCTAAAATAAATGCTAAAATATTTTCCAAAAAGGCTAATTTGGTTCTTCTCTGGACAGATTTAAGAAACGCAGCCTAAAGCTGCCTCACTCCAGGAATGCGCTATCCATGCTGGAAGCGCTCTGTTCACTGCTTCTTGTGGCCCCTCTCCCTGTTGTGTGGTTTCTTGAGTGTTTTGGTGCACGCATTTTCCAGGTAGTCAAACAGCAAATCGAGCTCACCAACTGCTTTGTTCTTTCCGTTCTCCCCCAACTGTAGAATCAAAGTGAAAACAAGGATTTGAGTAGAATGAAGGTTACAGATTACAAGAAAGGCGTTTTCTGAGAGCAAAGATAAAATAACAGACAGGCAGTAATGTGGTAAAATGACATCACAAATATTCACCAAACTGTTCTCTCTAAGATCCATGGAGCTGATTGGGAGCTAGAAGAGGCATAATCGAATATGCTTGCATGAGGTGGATGGTCTCACTCATTTTAAAGGTGCCTGAGCAAGAGAAATTCTCCAAATGGTTCCACCCCATTTCCCAGATGCCCAAGCAGGAGAAATTCCCCGCCTATCCACCTAATGCACTGTAAGGAAAAATTAGCGGTTAATTTTTGAGAATGTACATCTTTTGTACAGATGAGTCTGCCATGTGATCCACCAAATAGAAGGCATAAGGGATAAGACCAACTCCTACTTAAGCATGGCCATCCTGGCTATTTTGATCACGTTTCCATCTGTGAGCCTCACTGGTAAAATGACATAACTCTAGCACCTCACATACACTGCGTGGCATGAGATGAAAGAAGACCAAAAAGTCCAATGCAGGAATGCTCACTTCTGTGAAAAACCTGAGTACATTCAGCTCCATTACACTGTCAGTCCAGTCCAGCTGATTTTGTCTTGTCTTCCAAGGAGCTATGCAAGTTTCTAATAACCCTTCATTTATATTTGTACCGTTATTCACTAACAGGATTAGACAGAGGATGTGAAGGAATTTCTGCCAAGAACCTGGTGAGCCAGTGAGAGAGAAGAGGGCAAACCAGGTTCCTGGAGCTCCCAGGCATAAATGGTGCCCATGGTTGTTCCACACAAAGCACAGTAGCTCCCATGGGTAAATTAAGCCACGGTGGCTGTCACATTGTGCTACTCAGGTCAGTGAATCAAATCTCTGGTGTGAGAAAAGAATTTTTACTGTTCTGATTAATATTTTTTTTACAAATCAGCATACCTGGTTCAATTTGTCTTTCATTTTTTTCAGGTTGCTTTCAATGTGTTCTGTATGTCCCAGTGGTTTCTGAAAAGGATGGAAGAACATGTAACAAATGTGGCATTCATTTCACACCTTTCTCTTGACTTGCACTTCACCTGAGAATGCTTGGATGCTTTGATTTGAGTTTCTTTATTTTGTAGCACCACCTGATTTGAGATTTGGCCTTTCCTAGACATATATTATCAAGTAGTAGCCCATCTTGATAAACTGAAAGCCCTTCCAGAGGAAAAGATAGATTAAAAAAAGAGATGGGATTTAAGCAAAGCTGGGAACAAAGGATGAATACTAAAGACTACAACTAAATATGGCACTTACACAGTGGCGTAGTTCCACATTCAAATGGACCAAGAAATTTGTCACATCCTGGACACTGGCAGATTGGTTTTTTAGCTCAGAGAGGGCATTTGTCACCACAATATCTGTTACTCGCTTCATTAGGTAGCAGCGATCATTCTTCTGCACAAGAAGATAAATAAAACTGTATCAGCTGAACAACAAGAGAACAGGAAGTTATACAGAGAGAATAAAAACGGAATTAATGCATATGGAATGTAGAATCTCACGTTTATATTGATGTATAGATGCTCCCCGATGAATCTGTTATCTGTATCCTTATCAAACAGCCTTGCCTAAAAAGAGAGTCAGAATGAGCACATAGTAGGAAGATCAGTCCCTGATTTTAAACAAATTCTGCATTGCAGCAGATCTAGTCCTTGTGACTTCACAGCTTTCCAATTCTGCAACAGAATTGGAAGAGACTCTAAAGAACTGTGTAGAGCTATAGAAAAGGGGACAAAGAAAGACACAATTTAAGGGTTGAGGTGGTGAGTCCAGAGGCCACCGAGGTAAGTAGGTCCAAGTAGTTTCCTGGTGGATTTGATGAAAAATACAAATCAGAAGATTAACTTCAAACAAAATATCACATTTGAAATTCCATATTTTCAAGGTCTGTAGGAAGAAGATAAAACTGGGTGGTTTATGTGGTTGGTAATGTGTTAAACCTGTGGGTTATGAGACTGAGTGCTATATAGTCACAGTATGCTATATGTTATACTGGGCTATGTTTTCGTAAAACTCCGCATGTACTTGAAGGATACTATACTGATAAACATACCTGCCTCTACATTGTAGAGTCTCAAGCCACAAAATAAGAGAGTACTGTCCTTTCAGAAAGGAAGAATGGCAGGGAGGAAAAACATGGAATATGGAGAGATAACCATAGACAACAGATGGTTAAGACTGCAGGGTGGTGCTCTGGAAAAGGGGTTTACCTGTTTGGCCAAGGTCTTTGTGCGGTTCATGATGTAGGTTCTTTGGAAGTTGTTTTTGCTGAGTGTGCAGGAGTGATTAGAAAGAGCTGTTGCTTCCTTCAATGGCAAAGGGCTTGCCAGGGAGGAGAGAGGTAGGCAGCAATAGCAGAACATCCCAACTAGAAAGGTCCTGGTCCAATTCTGCAGCAGATTCATCATGCCAAAGGAAAGGCAATACATCCAGCCAAGTCACAGTCACTGCTGCTGAAACTTCTAGGGAAAGAGAGAAAGCAAATTATCCAATGAAGACAAACACAATTATAATGCACTTAGTGGACAATTCTGTGCATGTTTAGACAGAAAAAATATCCTACAATGCCCAGCATTCCCCTGTCCATAACACCAGGAGTTGTAGGACTTTTCATCGTCTAAACAAGCATAGGATCACACCCATATAATCTTAAAAGGATGGGGGGGTTGGGTTTTTTTGCACCTAGCATATAATTACTTACCTGTGGTTTTTGGCTGTGTTGTGCAGGAGCTGAGGGTTCTCTTGTATATATACTGATTGCACCATTGTGCAGGAGATACCTAGCAATGTTAAAATGACATCATTAACTCTCTTTCCATCATCGTTTCTGAGAATGTTCTAACCACTGCCACAAAAAAAAAAAAAAAAAAAAAAAATCCAAGCCACAAGAGACATTGTACCTTTAATTTCGTATAAAATGGTCTCATTGATAAAGTTGGGGTCAAAAGGGAGTTTTTGTTGCTTTGTGTTACTATAATGACTGAGGGTCAAACCAAGTGTCAAGCAAATAAAGCACTTAGTAACTTTGTTCAATAGGTTTATACGTGTAAATAGCAGGTGAGTTCATCTGGATTAAAGCCACCACCTTAGCTCATCAGAGTCACATCCTGACTTCAGCCCTCTAAGACTGCTACTTAAACTTAAAAACGATTTTACATTATTGATTTATTTGTTCATTGGTTTGATTTGTGCCATGCTTTTCTACCCAAAAAGTGGCACTCAATGCAGCTTACAGACTCAATATGGATTAAATCAATAAAACGACATATTAAAATACAATAGAACATAACAATTACAGAATTAAAAAGCCATTAAATTACATAAAACAGCACCCTACTGAACAAACCCACTTACAGGCTAAAGGCCTTTTTAAATAAAGCTGATTTTACCAGGTGATGGAAGCGGAGCCAAGAGGAAGCAGCCCTGGCCTTCCTTGAGAAGGAATTCTCTGCTAGGAAACGGCCACTGAAAAGGCCCTCTCATGGGTCACCACCAAATGCTCCTCTGAAGGGACTGATCTCAAAAGAAAAACCTTTCAAGGAGAACTTCAGAACTGGGCAGGCTCAAACAGAAGAAGGCAGTTTTTCAGGTAGCCTGGTCCCAATTCATAAAGCTCTTTATAGGTCATAACTTGAATTCTGCCTGGAAACAGTTTGGTAGCCAGTACAGCTATTGTAAGAGTCACGTGCTCCTGTAAGTAGCTACAATCAACAGTCTGCACAGGACGTTCTGGACTAGCAAAAGATCTGAATAGTTTTCAAAGCAGCCCCACATACAGCATGTTGCATTAGCCTAAACAGAATGTAACTAAGCCACAGATCAGCATCTTCAGGGATGGACACAGTTACCATACTTACATTAGTTTAGCAAGCGCAGTCCTGACCACTGCCCAAACCTGGGCATCAGGGTTCAGGACTGAGTCCAAGAATGCACCCAAACTGCAAGTCTAAGTCTTCAATGCCCATGTGATCCTATCCAGCAAAAGTTGAATCCCTATTCCTTGATCTGCCTCTTGGAAACTGAAAGCACCTCTGTTTTATCTGAATGTTGCTTTGATTTGTTGCCCTCATCCAGTTCTTGTCTGATATCAGGCACCTGTTTAGATCCTGAATAGCATTTATTTTATTCATATAGCAAAGAAAGAGCTGGAGATCATTAACATACCAGTGGTGCCAAGTTCTGATACTCCAGACAATCTCTCTGATTGGTTTTATGTATGAGTTGACTAGCGAGCAGGAGTGAGATGGAACACTGAGTGACACCCCAGCACCACCTCTGGAGATTGCCTCTCCAAGGAGAACCAGAGACATTGTATAACAGCACCTCGCACTTCCATCTCTGACGGATACTATGGCCAGTGGTGATGAGAGCTTTTGCATGGTCCAGCTAACAGAGAGACTCCTCCTGTCTAGTGTCTGCTGTAGGTCAACCACTAAGAAAATCAAAGCAGTCTCCATCAGGCCTGAAGCTCAATTGAAATAGGTCTAGTAATCCTTCTGATCCAGAAATCCCTGGAGGTGAGAGGCCTCTACCACTTGAGCAGTTTGCCTAAGACCGGGATACTGGAGACAAGCCAAAAATTATCCAATGCAGTGAGGTTCAGGGAGGGGTTTTTTTTAAGGGTTACTACTGCTTCTTTTAGGCAAGATGGAATCACACCTTGCCATGAAGAGGCTTTCACAGCTATACTTACCTATTCAGTCAGTGCCCATCAGCACCCCACAGTTGCTTTTATAAGCCAGAAAGGGCAAGTTCCCATCATGCAAGTGGCAGGTTCCATCTCTCCCCTCACAGGTGTCCACATCTTTGTGCTGCACACATGGAAAAGCATCTATCATAACTCGGCATGCAAGAACTAAAGTTACCTCCATGGTCCCTGCATCATCTATGGCATCTAAGCTGGCCATAACTGGCCTGTATGCTTGATTTTATCTGGAAAGTGTAATGCAAATTGGTCACAACAGACTATCAGGTGGGCAATTCATGCTAATAGTAAGAAAGGTGGCATGTTTTATTTGGCCCTTAACTGGATTTCAGAATGAAAGCTTTTAAAAAGATGAGATGCTCTAAGACAGCCTTCCCCAACCTTGTGCCTTCCAAACACGTTTGTACCGCAAGATCCAGAATTCCCAGTCAATGGCCCTATTGGGTGGGAATTCTGGGAGTTGCAGTATAAATGCCTCTGAAGTCCACCAGGTTGGGGAAGGCTGCTCTAAGATGTTAGGTGGTGACATGCTTCAACAACTGGAGTGCAACTACTGGAAGGGCCTTTCATTCATAGGCAGCTGGCATAGTTCATTTCATTGGGACTGTCATATCGATGAAGAAAACCAAGAAAAAGTTTATCTTGTGCTTATTCATGACATCTGGAACCTCTTGGAGCTTCCTAAATACATGTGGCAACTTGATTCATCCTTAATACTTGCTCTAGAGATGGAAGAGTGGACTAGTAATCATTCATGGGCCAATTCGCGTAACCATTTTTAAAGTAATGGTGACATGGTCATCCAACATGGAACTATTGTTTTGCATTGTGATGAGACGCTCCAGGAAGCACCTTCTGAATTATGACCCGGTATTCAGACCTTTTCTGTATGAAAGCATCTATTTTATTTCAGTGTCCTGACATACATACCTTTGTGTTTATGATTAAGATCTATGAACTGTTTCATATGAAGTCCAGTAGGATAACCAAGGAAAGGATTTCCTATTGCATTTAATTTTATGATTCTGCACATTTTAGCTGATTTTAAAATGAAGTTCACTGGGGAAGAATTATAACAATTACATTGATTTCCACTTGCTTCCATCTGTTCAAAAAAGGGGGAAATGAAAGAACCTAGCTTAACTGAACCTCAAATTTACTCAATAGGCAACCTCCACTTAGGGGTTTCGTGGGCAACTTCTTTCCAGAAATGTTTTAGAAATTAGCTTTTTCCCACTCACAGGCTCTGGGGAGACATTTCAAACCACAGTGAGTTTCCCTCATTGACTAGTCAGTCACAGTGGTTTTATATTTTCAACAACTGACCCATATAAAATTGAGAGGATTCAAAGCGGAGGAATAGTAGGCTTGTCAGAAGCCACAAAACACTTCCTCTTCGATTTCAACTTTGCCATGCAGACTAATAGTTTCTTAGTTTGTTTCTTCAAGAACATACGTAAACTCATTTCTACTCAAAGGTTAAGAGTGATTTATATTATTGATGGGTAAGTTATATGGTAGCACAAATATCATCTACACATCTTGGATGTTACTTTCTAGATACATATTTACTCAAAATAGTGGTAGTGGTTAAGAGCATGGGACTGGGACTCAGAGGATCTGGGTTCTAGTCCCCACTCAGCCATGGAGCCAACCGGGTGACTTTGGGCCAGTCACAGACTCTCAGCCCAACCTACCTCACAGGGTTGTTGTTGTGGGGATAAGATGGAGGAGGAGAGATGATGTAAGCTGCCTTGAGCCCTTTGTAGGAAAAAGGCAGGATATAAATCTCATTATAAATAAATAAAATATAGACAACATGAAGGTTTTTCAATGACATTACCTATTCTTGAGCACACACCCTCTCAGATTGCAACCCTTCATTGGTTAATCATATTCTCTTAACTGGTCAATTTGTGAACTCCAGAAATGGAATTATTGTTGCTGTTGCTATTATTTATAATTTCAAATATATTTTAAAATGCATAACAGTTAAAATTATGCTTTTGGACCTCCAAAATTCCATATACAAAGTAGGTTAGCCACCAAAATGGTCTTTTTAAGTACTTGAAAGGTTGTCACAAAGAGGAAGGCCAGGATCTCTTCTTGATCTACCCAGAGCACAGAACCCAGAATAATGAGCTCAAGGTACAAGAAACCAGATTCAGTCTGAACACCAGGAAGACCTTCCCAACTGTTAGAACAGTATGACAATGAACAGGGCGACAATTACCCAGGGAAGTTGTGGGCTCTCCCACACTAGAGGTATTCAAGATGTATCTGGACAGTCATCTGAGCGGGATGGTTTAACTTGTAGTCCTGCACTGAGCAGGGGTTGGACCCAATGGCTTGGCCACTTCCAGCTCTTCTATTCTATGACTCTGTGTTCAAACACGTTGATTTGAGTGTAATTGTATTATGGAAAAGTGCATGCAAAAAGGTGCCATACATGTTCTTCCTTGGTGAATATTGCCAGTCATTTTTTCAGAGAAAAAGAAACTATTCTAGAACATAGGGACCTTTTTCCTGATAAGCCATTTGAAACTGTCAACTTTATGATAAGGGTAGAGATGCCAGAATATCCAATATGACAGGGGTCCTTTTAGGGTCTGTGGACACAATTGACAGTGCATTGTGGGCACTTTCACAAAATGGCTGCCAATTCACTGAATGACTGCAATAGTGGATGTGGTTGATCACACACATTTTCCAGTATATAAGGCTTTAAAAATCACTTATCCAGGAACCTAATACAAGAGATGGAGTCTGAGCTCCCAAATACTAAAACACTGTTCCGAAACCAGATAAAGATGATGCTTGAAGGCAGAACTTCACTTTGCAGCATGCCAGCTTGCAGTTTAAAAAATATATTTTAAAATATAACCATCAGGAGAGGCGTCCATAGGTGCATTGGTGCTACGGGCAGCATGTTGGAAATCCCATCAATATGGGCATTCTTAACAGGGAGCCTGTACAGGCAGAACTGCACAAAACATTTCCATCAAAAAGTATCAGCTCAGCATACACTCAGACAGGTTCCTGGGGATGCTTGCATAAACATTTCACCAAAACAAGTCAGCACTCAGGGAGGGAAATGACTGAGCTGACTAGAGAACTCTTCTGTTCACATTTCTCATTGTAATGAAGAGAGTCCCATACTGACCACAAGAGGAACTTGTGAAGTGTGACTTCTCAGCTTTCCCCAAATCCTTCTGCATGCTGCAAATAGTCTCTACAAAGGACAAATCAGAACCTGGCCCCTGACATTAGCAAATTCTTTTTTGGGCAAAAAGAGAATGTGCATTTCCTTAAGCTCTCCAGCCCAGCGACCTGCTCTGACAGTCCTCTAAGCAGCAGAACTTTTCAGTCAAGGGTTCTTGGTAGACACACTGAAAGCTACCAGGACAAAAGGTTATTTTGTAACTCTCAAGACTTGTGGAAGAAATGCTACCATTTCCTGACTTCCCCAATCCAGCTGTTCATGGCCTATAAGAAGCAGGAAGATACAAGGTAAATCAACAGTGAGCAAAATTTTGCTGACATGCTGACACTGCCTTCTCTGCGGTATTACTTTCTTCTCTTTATAGCAGATTGGCACAAATTTCATTTAACCTATTCCATCCATGTTCTATGAATTGTCAGTTGTCTTTTGTAATGTTGTGTGCTCCTTGTCAGAACTGGATTTTGTAAAGGTGCTTATTAGAAAGTGTTAGCAGAAATACGAATTTGCGTGAATCTTGATTTAACACTACTGTGTCTGAGTGCTGTCAGATTCTCAGCTCTAATGAAAAAAACATGCTTGGTGCTCTCCAAGGTTGAAAAGACAACTTGGGAGAGGGGAAAAGGGGTGGGAGGGGGGAGACTAGTGAGGCCAGGATTCTAGCTATTCGCAGCCTCTCCAGCCTCCATCCCTTCTTCTCCAAAAAAGCCCAACTAGCAAAATATTCAAAGCAAGAGGAGAGGAGCGAGATTGCCTCCGCCTCGCTTGCTCTGTGTAGCATAACCACCTATGTTTGGAAGTTATGGGCACTGGGCTAGGATTGCACACCAAGGGTCAAAGGATGTGCATGCTCACAAGAATGCACAAGTAGAGTGTAATGGTGCATACCACACATGTGAGTTACCATCACCTACTACTGTGCAATTACAAATTTTCCTTTTAAAAAAGCCCTGCACTGAAGTCCCAGATAGGGATGACTGTAATAAAGGTAGAATGGGACATCTGTACGGTTAAACTAGTTTAGACTGTAGTTTTGTAAATACAGTTTAGTGGTGTCCACTGATTTGAGATCCAACCCAGCAAATCAACAGAGGCATTCAAATCAGTGAGAGATTCAACTATTATTTTAATAGGCTATGGATCAGCATCTAAGTATGACAGAAAATTACTGGTTCACATGACAGGCAAAAGAAGGCAGGGGATATGAGTGCACACGTCTGTTCTGCCAGCAATGTATCTACCATCAAGAATAACCACCAAACCTCAGTACAGTGCAGTCTAGTCCAAAAAGAAAATAAAATGTTGCAGGCCAGCTAAAATCTGAGTTATCCAAAACCGTCTTTCAGTAGCCCTCCAGCACCCTAGAGAAAGCCATGGCCATCACTGAAGGAATATTTGGCTATCTGGTGGAGGGAGACTCCTTTGGAAGGGAAATTAAAACAGCCCAACAGGATCTGCAGTTCTACCAGGGTGCATTTGCTGCATTAGGAAGAACCATTAGGATCCACAGTGCTGTCAATTTTGCTCAGATAACTAATGGATTGGACCCTCCCCCAGAACTGGGACTTCCCTGGAAAGTACAGTGCAATTCTGACTAATTTTAATATAGCAAAATACACATCTAAATACATATTTTGAATGTGTGTAAGTAAACAGTGATATTTTATATTTCCAAAATAGGGGATTTTAAAAAAATAGTTCCCAGCAATTCAAAAGGGGACTTTGTAACTGTCATATGGATGGCTGCAGACCCCTGCTCCCCAATTCATCTTGGCATTTGGGATGCCAAATGAAGTGAACAATGACTTCACTTCAAGTCAGTTTTCCCCCCTTTCTTCCAATTTCCTCCACCCTCCACCAAGTGCACATCAAACTGGCCTTTTTTAACATCTCGACTAATGAACTGCTCTTGAAGGCTTGTACGGTTTTTGTGATCTTTTGATTGGCCTCAAAAAGTTACTATAGTAATACATGTTTTGCAACATTATTCTGAAGAAAACATATTTAAATACGGGGTGGAATTGTGAGTAGAAAGACTTGTATAATGGACTTGAGACAGATTTACTCAGTTAAAATTAAAATAGGGCTATTTCTAATTAGATATTTATTATACACAAAAACACAATCTGGCTTTTATTTTAAAACACATACAAAACTCATTTTTTCATCATACAAATCCAACATTTAAAAACCATGAATACAAATACCATCACTTCTTTACAAACCACATTTGCTTAATGTTAAAATTCTGTAGGTATTCAGGGGAAGCAAAGGACCATCTCGTGGGTGTTTTACCCTAAACTACAATCTATCTTAGTTTTAACAATCTTCTTACAGTAATGTTATAGGTTCTGCCACAGCAACTAGAAGAGACAATTAAGATAACACATCTGAGTCTTAAGAGGAGGCAAATACAATGACAGTAAAAGTATATGAAATTAAAACTGACCCAGCCATCAATACCAGTATTTCTAACAAAGCTAACTATGATCACATGCACAAAACTCAAATTTACCTTGAGGAAACAAGTGTGATTTAAACAAAATAGATTGCCAACAGCATACTATTCTGCAAAATGTGGCAGAATGCTTTGATAGGACTTTCAGATGCTGCTCACATGTTTTGCTAACCAAACTCCTGTAAGATGCTCAAAACTAGAGAACCATGGGCTTAAATCATTACAGTCATCATTGCTCATTATAGCATTGGTCATTATAGTGCGGAGGGGTAAAAGGAAGTGGGGGTGACTTTGAAATAAACCTTGAGTATAACATCACAGTAAACCATAAGCAGCCAAACAAGTGGTTGTGAAGTTCGGTGATAACAGCAACATCTGCCATTGTATTTTAAATGGTAAAATACAATGACAGACAGCATCACCAAGACAGTGTGATGAGAGCCAAATCAATGCCACTATTGCTGTAACCGAAGCGATCAAAACCATGTCAAAAGTGTATTAAGCAAACATCAACCAAGAAACAGCGTGGTAGACTAAAGACAGCATTAGAGCAAAAGGATTAATGAGAATGAATTCAGTTTATGGACAGTAGAAGTATTATGTAAATATCCTTGAAGATGTTAAAAGTTTGCTAACATAATTACTGAATAATCCTAAAGGTTGAAAGCAACCTGTACTTGCTCCAGTCTTACTTTACTTTGGACAATTTGAATCATTTTTTAAGACTTTCAGAACTTTTTTAAGGACTTTTGAACCTTTACTTTTTACTCTAATTCCATGGCTGAATCTACAGTTTGTGGTAAAAAATATGACAAAAATATAGTAGTCTCATGTCATTTCTCTGCTAAAACTGTAAAATCTCATATATTGTATATGAATTAGAAACATTTTTCAGCTATGGCTTTTTAGAATGCTTTTGCATTATAGTGAGGTAGATAGCACTTAGTCCCAAGATAGGCTGTGCATTCCCAGATGCTATCCAATACACAAAGGTAGCAATGAATACCCAGCATTTCTTTTATCAAGGTGATAGATGCAGAAAATCAGAAGTCACCTCAAAATAATGTTCATAAAAATACCCAAATACATAATAGTTTGTAGATATAGCAAACAGCATCACAGTTTGCTCCAGAAGTTCTCTTTTCTCCTCTGAGCTCGTTCGAGAACCTGAGATGCAAGGGAACTAGAAGCAGCAGATCGAACAGATAGCTGAGACAATCGGTCGTCATCATCTGGAAACAGAACATGAAAGGACAACTGATTATTTGCACAGTTAATATGCAATGGAAACAAAACAGGCTTGGAAACTTCCTTGAAGCTTCAAGGTCAAAGGGACAACAGCAAGTTATCCACAAAAAGGACAATCAATTCCTACTCTCACTAATTCATCCTAATATAGGCAAACAAGTATGCAGGCATTACAGCCAACAAAACAGACTGCATTTGCAAGGCAAACATTTTAAGGGGCTTCCTAAACAGTATAGCATTTAAAGATTCTAATTTGTCTTTTTCTAGTGGCACTGAAAAAGAGTTACTTTATTTTAGAAAGGTCTAAAACACAGCTTGGCTAATTTCCATTTCTAAACTGCCCCAGGAGCTTTGGCTGTGGGGTGGTATAGAAATGAAATAAATAACGATGTTCATTTGTGAGAAGTGTTTTAGAACAGGAATGCAAAGTTCAGACCACTGAAAGGGCTGCTTCAAGGATCATTTTATTATAATTGATTGTTAACATGAGCCACACTTTGGCCATATTGTACAGTACACACAGTTTGCACACGATACACCATTAAAAAAAACCGCAGAATACATAAAAGGGTGAAACTACTGGGAATTCTATAATGCAAGACTCTGTACATTTATTCCAGTAAATGAAGGCATGGGTTCAAAGGCACACCTCTGCACCTCCCGGAACACTGCAAAGGGTCATGGGGTGTACTCTTGATGCATGAAACATTTACATTGAGCACTGTGAGTGTTCTTCTCAGCTGGTTGAATTCCCTGACTACCTTATAATTGATAGGCTGCACATACTGTGAGTCATTTAACCCCACTGCTGCTTGCACAAACAGCTGTACATACATTTATCCATGAATCGTATATCCATATGTCCTGTGTTGTACATGTTATTTTCACTTTGACCAAAATCCAGTATTCCCAACAAGGTATTGTTTTTGTAGTAACACAATAGCAGAGCTGGTTGTGTCTACTATAACTACAAATGAGAACCCTCCAGCACCATATCAAAAGAATCAGAAGAATGATGAAAGAAAAATTAGCTGGATGAATATATTTGCTAGTTTTGTAGTATGTCTTAATATTCGCCTTCCGTTTTTGAAAGAACTTAGTCCTGATATGGTAAGAACTTATAGTGCACATGCACTTACAAATTACCAGGGCAAATGTGCTTTGAGGTGCTCCTAAAAACTGACAGTACTGAAGGCTTGTCACAGTGGTGAAGTCTCACCACTGAAGTCTTGCACAGTAAATCAGAGCATTATAAACAGGAATCATCGAATGCATCTTCCAATACTTGTTTTCCCAGTGCTAATGATTTGTTGTTTTAGTAGCAGATGAGTGGTTCAGTGACTGATCTGTCATCTCAAAACATGTAGTGAAACTGCAGCTTATTGTTGAAGATTTAGTAAACTGAAGTACTTTCTGTAAATATTGGTTGCTTTCTGAGCAACTTGCACAGCCCACACACTTTTCAGTCATGGCAGTTACTGCAAGTTGCTAAAATGTTTAACTGGTAGCTAGGCTTTCCTTGTAAGATGAAGTTGTCAGAAGAACTACAACCCTTTCTATTAGTTTTGTAAATGCATTGATTACATCCAGGCAAGACGTGGCAAACTTTTCCCTTCCCGGTTAGTTCTCTGGGGTACTGTGAGCCTATCTTTAATTAGATTTACACAGTTAGCCTTGAGGTATTAAAATCCATGAAAATTGGCTTTATTGCCTCATTTTCATGCAAGAAACCATGACTGTAGATGCAGACCTGCCCCATCACATTCAGAAAGAAAACTACATTTCAATTATTTCCTCTTATGTGGTTAACACAACTGGGTCTCACCCACAGCTCCCCAATTTAAGCAGTCTAGTCAAAGGTTGAGATTGCATGACATGCCAACCCATAATAAGTCAGGGTGGGTGAGTGGTTTTCATGCCCTACCTCCTATTTATTTTTATTTATTTAGACCATTTCTATGCCTCTCCTTCTTTCCGATGTCCCCCTCCAGGAGACACTGTGAGAAGGAACAAGTCTCCCCCCTCTGCCAGCCATGATTATAAGGTATTTCAGATCACCACAGTTGTGAGAGTCCCTGCAGTGCAATCAGCTCAACTCCCAGTCTTGGGTGGGTAACATGCAGGAGACAGCTCTTGTGCATCACCCCAGCGAAGGCTGGAAGCTGAACTCTTTACTACATCAGGGCAGGAGCCCCACTGGCCCTATGGGAACAACAAAGAATAACATCCTCTTTGCCCTCACAGTGCAAACAGGCTTTTGGGGAGGATGGGGGAGATGCTCAAGCACTCCCATCTGCCGCTCCAGAGGCAGCAGGAGGCAGGGATGCCTGAGGAGCTCAGTGGGGCTACCTAAGGAATAGGGTAGCACCACCAGGTGGATCACCAGCTCCCACCTCCTGCCTCACAGCAAAGCTCTTGGTTGTCATGTCTTGCAAACAGCCACCCTTGGTGAGGAAGTCCCTCTTTGCATGACAGGTCAACCCACGTACAATAGCAAACAAGGGTGGGTAGATGTGGTCTAAACCAAGTCAGTAAGCACCAGCTTACTACTTCCAACATGTGATTTTGAACTCTGGCTCCTATTTTTCCACTTTTTCTTTGATTGGAATTTTATATTTCATTAACTTTTCTAAATTCTGTGGAGACCCAGATGGCTCTGTCCTCTCCAACTTCTGGGTCCTGGAGGATAGATCACATAATCATTCAAATATGAAACAGCAGCTACACTTATCATATATAAAGTGTATGAAACCAAATGTTTCAGGTATATTTAACACTGATAAAGGAGAAAAATACCTTCAGGATTATAGTTCTTTTCATGAAGTGGTAACTGCAACCAGCTCCTTTGAGGACTTGCAACATTACCTAAACGAAACAGCATACCTTCATTGCATTTTACCAGCCTAAACAATTCTTAAATTCAGGAAAGGAAAGCAGGAAATTAATCATAAGCATTAATTCCTTATATTAGTATTGAGATGAAGAAGTTTAAGTGTACACTTTGCAAGTGTGAAGTAAAATGTTGGGGCAAAAAAATCTTAACTTCAAGTACAGGCTGATGGGATCTAGGCTAGCAGTGACTGACCAAGAAAGAGATCTTGGGGTTGCGGTGACAGCTTGATGAAAATATTGACCCAGTAAGCAGTTGCGGTGAGAAAGGCAAACTCCTACTTATGTTAGGCATAACTAGGTAAGAAATTGAAAAAAAGATATAACAGTTGCATTCCTCTTATATTCCTCAAATCTCTGGCGCATAGTTTTGGTGGCTATACCTGCAATGCTTTAGGTTTAGGGTCTGGGTATCTGAAGGAGCATCTCCTTCCTTAAACACCTTCCCACCCCCTAAGACCCGGGTTGGAGGTCCTTTTTGGGAGCCCTCTTTCAAGAAGATCAGAAGAGTGGCTACCAGGGAACGGGCCTTTTCTGTGGTGGCACCCCGGCTTTGGAACATGCTCCTCAAAGAGGTGTGCTTGGCACCAACCCTTTATTCATTTCATCGCCAGGCCAAAACTATTTTATTTTCCTGGTATTTTAAGATTTGATTGAGATTTTAATATTGGGTTTTATCAGATTTATGTCTTATTGTATTCTGCCTTTTGTTTGTTTGTATCACCATCCTTAGACTCCTGTAAAGTATGGGGTTAAAAAAAGCTCAAAATACATAAATAAAAGCCAGCCCCCAATTTGGATGGCTCTGAAAGAGGACTGGACAAATTCATGGAGAATGGCTACTAGCCTTGTTGGTTATGTGCCTGTACACCAGGTGCCGAGGAGCCTGGGCAGGTGGAACTGTTGTACCCAACTCTTGGGCAGCTGGTTTGCCACTCTAGGAATGAAATGCTAGGCTGAATGGACCATTGGTCTGATCCAGCATGGCTTTTTATGTTCTTATGTAACATATAATGTATGTAACATGTAATGTATGTTCTTCCAAACCCTGGTTAGGACTCCTAGGGTATGGAATGGGTTTCCAAAGGAGGTGGTTGAAGTCCCAATGGTGAGGGCGTTTAAGGATAGGCTGGACATGCACATGGTAGACATGCCATGAGTAGAGACAGCTGGAGCTGGGGGTCAGACTAGATGGCCCAGGAGACCCCTTCTGATTCATTCTGCATCTATGTTTCTGTGTAACAGTAATAAGCATATTGTACAATATTTTCCTGGAATAAACTATTTTAAGAGAATGCTGTCATAAATTGTCCACTGAAGAACACTTCTCCTATAGCAAAGGTATTAAATCTCTTTTAGCACATGGAACAAATACTACTTTGGGAGACCTCCTGGGGGCCACATTCTGGTGTTGCATAGGGCTGAAGTCAAAAGGCACAGTGTCAAAATACCACCATAGTTTAGCTTAAAGCTGTTTCTGTTAGTAAATCAGAAAGGCATTTCAACTTTTCATGTTAGTAAGGCATTTCAACTTTTCAGATGGGGAAAACTTCACAAAAGTTAGGAAAAGACAAAAGAAATTGGAGATTAGGAGAAAGGGTGTGGCCACCCGAGGAACCACAGATGCCAGGCAGGCAAGATTTGGTGCCCAAGGATTTGTAACTGCCTTCATTTCAACCCCAAATTGAAAAGCAAATTTCTGCATGTCTAAGCAAATGATACTCTGCCAAAGTCTGTTGCTTCCCAACGTCAAGTCAAATTGTAGAATAAGAAATACTAAGGTATGTTTCAAAGTATAGATCGTCTATAATTAAAGTGTCAGTTGCTGCTGTCTTCAAGAAGGATAAACTTCTATTTAAATCAGAAAAGAGGATAAAGGGGATATAGAAATGAAACCAACCATTATGTTGAAACTCTGGATTTCTAAGAGTTCCCTTAATGCGGCATAATGGACTCCAATATGGCAAAGCAGGGTCCTTAGCTGATTTTAACCCAGGAACAATTGTTGTCTTCTCCAAATGCACTGAAGTTGGATGATCTCTTACACCAGTGGTATTTTGACTAGGCCAGTGATCTTTCCTTAGGGGCAAAGGGTCCAAGGTTTTCAGTCCAGCAGCTGAGGAATGACCCAGAGATATAGTTTCTCCTTCATCCTGAAATGCCCACAGAAAAGAAATTGTATGCTGTAAGAATGTTCTGTTTACAGTGAACACTCATTGAGTCAATGTTGTTCACATGACACTTTGTACTATATTGCTTCCAAAAGCTTTCCACAGTCCCTTTTGGAGCTAGCTGGCTATATCTGGCTACAGGTATATAAAGCAGATTGCTTTTAAATGAGTTCCACTTACAATGACAACTTTCCCATATGATCACTTCAAAACAGTTTAGTATATACATAAAAGTGAAAGAGAGTAACTGTTTCTTAGCTTTGTCCAATTCATGCTAGCCTTTAGATAGCTTCCCCACCCTGACTTGCAAATATATCCAGTAGCAGCTCATGACAACTGATCTCTTACATAGAGGCTTGCAAGCACTTTTCTACCATAAGTGTCATAGCCATTTTTGACTGCTACACGGCATGAATGGGCAGTGGGGATATTGCTGTGATTCACCCTCCTGCCCTTACATTCCAAAAGTATGCATAGATCAGCTCCATAAGAATAATGTCACAAGGACATAACAAGTGGAATCCGCAACGAACTGCTGTAGCACCGTTAATTTATTCAGGATTCCAATCATGCCCTCTTTTATTTATTCTATTCCATTCACCTCCCACTGCCAACACTCAACATTCCATGCCTACTGAGCATGCTCCGACTACTTCTTCTTCTTTTTAATTTGCCTGTTCAGGTTCCCCTAACCATTGCCCCAAGGATGTGGGGAGGGTATTTCTGCATGCTTTGAGCTTCCCTGAAGCACGGTAATACTTGGTTGTCAGATGCCCGTTTCAGCTATTTTTGTTCACTATTGAAGGAAGTGATTGCTGCAGTGATCCAACAGAAATATCAGTTATGTTCATACCACTCCCTTACCACACATTCTGTACAGTACCCAAAATTCTGACAAACAGAAATGTAAAACAGGAGCTTTGTAACGATTACAGATGACACAAAAACCATCTATGATTTCTCCAGAGTTAATTCTTTATTGTCTTCAAAAGGTAACTCTAGGTAAGTAGCCATTTTTATTCTGTGGATCTAAAACACAGATTTTAAAAAAAACAACTACTATAAAAATAGCTGGACCTCTTGATACATTGTTTTCTGATAATTGCTGTGTCTTACCCTGTTAAATTTTCTTTTCAAATCTTCTCTTGAGCCTTGATTATTGGTCAAGCCGTATTTTTCTGATAACTCCTTCCTGATTTGTAATGAAGATGAAGATTTGACTTTAGGTGGTGATACTAAAACAGCACCTCCTGAAATAAGAAAAAGCACAACACATCATTGTTCATTCTAAATTTCAATAAATAAATACATGGTGTACATGTTGTTGAAATTCTTCTTTTTAATCAACTATTAAATTTTTACCAGCAGTTGGTGTTGTAAGGTCATGATGTGTTCTTTGGGCTCCACCAATTGCTCTTAGTTCTGGAGTAGGAAGCCGTCCACCTTCCCTTGAGGGCACTGGAGAATCTGTCCTATCACCTGGAGAATTCATATTTTCTCTGAAAAATATGGCACAGCATAAGATATACGATAAAAAGCAATCAGCTTCTTATTTATTGGAGGGGCATACTTGCCAGTAATCTGTAGGCTTTCCTAGCTGGCCATAAGCAAAGTAAGAATCACAAGAGATCTGGTAAGCTATTACTCAACAAAAACTTACATTCTAAGAGGTTTGCTTCCTACAACTGTTTGAAGATGCCTATTTTAGAATTTCATGCCTCTCATATTGTAGAATCATTCTTTTAGTTAAACTATTAACTAATATTATTTACTGGGCCTGTAGATTTCTGAATTGGTTCTTTCCTTTTACCATTATCAAATCTTCCTCACAGGATTGTTGTGAAGCTAAAATGGAGAGAAGGAGTATCAACAAAGTCACCTTGGATTCTTTGCAAGAGGGAAAATGGCAGGAGAAAAAAGTAAAATCATTAACTACACCTTGTGGTGTACAGTGTAAATTCAACTTCTGTCAGTTGTGGAATCTGCCTAAACTACCTATTCTCTTTGGTATTAAGAAAGCTCTCCATCTTAATATCACCACAAATCTTACTTTTTCGTGTTAGCTAGCACAAGGTGTTGGACTTAGCAACATTCTTCACTTATAGCAGCTAGGCATATCTTAGAATAGCCACGTTTTGTTAACACAGTACATTCATATGAAATGTACCTCGAAGAGTTTCACGAGGCACATCTCAGAACCATATCTGATCACTCCTACAGTTCCAAGACATGCACCTTAAGACATTTTTCCAGCTGTTATCCTAAGTATGTCTGAAGATCATAAGAAGGAACAGTTAAAATGGAAGGTGACCTTCTCCAGGGTTTATAGGGCAATTTGCAATATTTCAAATATACATCAAATTAATCTCAATAGGCAGCCATGAGGGGAGGGCTCTTTTTCGTATGTTTAACTTTACAATACCTACTTATGAATCCTGGAGTATGACACTCAACTGTAATAACAAATGTATTCAAATGTAATATCAAACCAGGGTATGACACCACCCCACCACCCAAACTACTCACTTTGCGGAGGCTCTGCTTGATTAAAAACTTCCTAGTTGTCACTACATCTAATTCTCTAAATCGGGAATCTATGGCTTATGCAAATCCAGAATGGAAACTAGAGACACCTGGCAGTTTCTAAATGAATAGTTCTGTTTGAAATTTATCCTGTGACTTATTAGTAATACACAAAGTATGGCTCAAGCTACCTGACCTAATACATGCTAGCCTCATTCATATCAATTGATAAGATTTCCCCATTACGTAGTGGAACTAGCATTGCCCTACTTAAAAGACACTGCATGTAATTATCATACTGAATAGCAACGAGTATGAAAAAAGGAAAAGACTTCTAAATATTTACTCTTGCTGATTGTCAGCATTGGTATTCTGATACTTTTGGTCTTGTTCTTCAACCTCTTCAGATTCCTGTTTATTTTCTTTTTCTTCTCCTTCTCCTAATGCTGGTGAATGGACTTCCAGTTCTTGAACATTTCCTGGTTCACCCCATGCCAATTTTCGTTTCACTGGAACAGTAGCAGCATCTGAGAAGCCTAATTTCCCAGTATTATTCTGTTGGAACTGCTCTGACCATTCAGGCTTTGGCAATATCTGAGGACTTGGAGAGAGATTTTTCTCAGGGATCCTGCACGAAGAGGAATCAAGCAGGGAATTAAATTCAAGATTTCACCTTATGTATCTAGATTCCAGAACCATACTGACTTAAATATATGGTCAATGGCATCTATGTCAAATCAAATTTGACAGATTTATATTTCAAACACATTTATCGTTCATCCTGCAGTCAATCTGCTATGTTTAGTAAAATATAGTTGATATCCAAAGATGCTGCACTATCCAAAGAACTGCACAACTAGTTCTGTGTGGCCAAAGGGGCTTTGGGCTTGAAAAGTGCAAACTGCATGTAGGCTCATCACATGGCAAGATGCTTATGAAATTTAGGGCTCTTCCAAAGGAAATTTGCAAAACCTCAAAAAGCTCACAGAAGCTTGTTTGACATTACTTAATAGAAACAGTGCCTAGCACAGAGGTTTAGATATCTGAGGATCCTTATAAGAATATATTTGTTATCCATTGCTGAATATATTTGTCCTTCTTATGCCACGCAGCATGTACATTTTTATTTCTAGCATCCTTTTGATATTTTTATTGAACTGTTTTTTGGCATATATTTCCGTGGCTGTTATTTTCAATGCTGGCATTTTGTGCTATGATATTATTTTAACAATTTAGAGTTTTATCATTGTATTTGCTGACTTTTGCTATTACATATATAACCTATCTTGTCATGGTTGTTAACCTGAAATGTGGGAATAGAAACTGTAAAAAACAAATGTACAATATCTCTTTGAATTTGGTTTTTCCTTTTGATCACCCAAAAAGGAGGATATAAACTTATATAACATTTGCAAAATGTTAATATATATGTATAGATGGAATTTTAAAACTGTGTTATAATTTTAAAATATAGTATTTTTTTAAAGAGAGCCAGTGTGGTGTAGTGGTTAAGAGCATGGGACTGGGACTCAGAGGATCTGGGTTCCAGTCCCCACTCAGCCATGGAGCCAACTGGGTGACTTTGGGCCAGTCACAGACTCTCAGCCCAACCTACCTCACAGGGTTGTTGTTGTGGGGATAAGATGGAGGAGGAGAATGATGTAAGCTGCCTTGAGCCCTTTGTAGGAAAAAGGCAGGATATAAATCGTAATATAAATAAATAAATAAATAATTTTCTCTGTAAACTGTGACCAGGTGACTTGTGTGCCTGCCCATTCTACCTGCTGTCCAGGTGCTCTGGTCAGGCAATAATTAGATTGTTCTTTATCTTTTAACTGGAATGGGACAGGATAGCTCTTCAAATAAAGTGCTGCCCTCTGTAAAAAAGAGGTCATATATGACTGTGGGGGCAATCCTAGCTGAAAACAAGACAGAGCAAATAGTAGATTGGAAATATTAACTAAACAGATAACATTTAGGCAGGAACATTTATAACACAAGTTTTCATTTTCCATACAGAACCCCTTACCCTGCTAAATCTAGAGCTTTGACATTGTTGCTTATGGTTTCTTCTGTACTGGAATCTGAGGACACATCCCAAAGCCTGTTGTTGTCTGAGAGAATCTGATTTAAATGCTCTCTGGAGAAGTGAGTTCCCCGTATTCTTTGCCTGTACGCCTCTGCTTTCTCTCGAAGTTCTTTCACCTGGTCATGAGGAATTGGCAGGATTGGTGGGTTTGTTTTTTTGTGTAAGCTATTGGCCAGTAAATAGCCACAATGAATAACACAGAGCAATTATGTCACAGGCAATGCATAATGAGTAATATTGCACCAGTGCTGTAAGGAGCGATATATGTAAGGCGAAAGCGTATGAATACATTTTTAAAAAGAAAGCATGTGTGTCAAGCAGTCCAGCCAAAGCACAGGTATCAATAAAATTATTCAGCAAGCATGAAAAGTGCATGAGCTATGCAGCTGCATAGTACTACACTGCATTACTTCTGAAGGGCCATCAATTCTATCATTGCTCCAAGCAGGAAGAACTTAGATGCAACCAACCTCCATATACCACATGGTATTTAGGGTGCTTTGAGACCCCTAAGGAGAGGAATACAGAATAAACAATATTTACTGAGAAGTAATGTTATTGAAAATGTCATTCACTCAAATCAGGTAATGATCACTGTTCTTCTATTGGGATTACAGTGTTATTCTGCCTCCTACAGTTGAGATTACAAAAATGTAACTTAATTTCCTTTAGTCTTGTTTTGAGATAGGGCACATTTAATCAAACACTCCATTTCGATCCATCTGTTTGAATACTTAGTCTGACATTAGTGACTGCAAGCAGATCCCCAATTTCTGTGGTATCGAAGCATTCTAAACCTTAGCATTGTGTTAATAATTAGAGATAGGAAGACATGATAATAATTTGCACTCATAAGTAATATCTACCATATTTTATTATTCTACACTATTTTACCAAGTCTTAAGAAAATGAAATCTTGGTGGGTAAACATATGCAGTAGGTTAAATAAGGTTTAAAGTGCAATGCTAAAAATATTAGATTTATGTATTTAGATTTATGTATTTTTATAATTATGTATATGATTACCTGCAGTTGCAGCCCAATCTGACTTGCCACAGATGATAACTGAAAAGACCCCACATGCTCAAAACCTGCACATCACAAAGACTCCAATAATACACTTGGACCACTTGATGGCATTGTGGCATTTCTCTGTAACAGAGCGGGAATCAATTGCCCTGATTGCCTCTTCCCAGTGTGCCTGTTAAGGCACTACCATGCAGAGATGAGTGGAAGCAGGTTCTGCTGCCTCAGTCAGTGAAATACCAGAAAATGATTGTGAATGCATGTTGTTGAAGATAGGAGGGCAGCACTGATTTCTATTGGATTCATACATGCTGTATAAACCTTATGGTGAGACATGTACAGCACATGTAAGTGCAGTACAGGTGATCGGAGGGAGTAAAATAAAGTGTCTCAAAGAATCTTCTCTATTGGCAATGCAGCTGCAACACATCTTTCAATTCTCATTAGGTCTGAACTATTCAGGAATTTTAGCTCACAGGTACCCTAAATTAACAGCCAAGTCAGTGACATATATTCAGGAAGTGAAGATTGCCCTTAAAAGACTTTATATTCTTTTCAGCGCCAGGTGAAAACCTTTTTATTTGCCCATCATTTTAAATGTTAGGAATTTTAATCAGGTTTTAACTTCACTGTTGGTTTTTGGCTTTTGATTTTGCTCTTATTCTTGATTTTGTTTCCTTCATTTGTGAAATGTTACTGCTTTTATGTGCATATTTAACTATTTATTTAATTATTGTTAATCTGTCAGATTGTTTGCTTTGTCTTTTGTAAGCCACCCTGAGATGCTTTTGCAGGGTATAAATATTTTAATTAATCAATTAATTAGTTGCTGAAATTTCCTGTATGTCACATGGTTAGCAGTGAGCAAAGAGATGCACTCCTACAAGAGAAATCCAAATAAATGAAGCTTCCTCCTAGCATTTAAAAACCTGAAGAGGCATTTCTATTTAATATGGTAAATCCCTAACCTATGTTGGATGGCAAAATCGCAATCAGATGTGACCCTATACAAGATGAAGACATAATTAAAACATACAATCAATTGTATACCAATGCAGTAGAGTAAAATATAGACAGCACATCACTCTGTTTTAAAACAAATATTTGGAAATATGCAACTTTTAACAATATATGCTATTGTAAAGCTATGTAGAAAGTAATGAAAAGCAACACACTTTAGGAGAAGAAATATATGGTCAGAAAGAGTGGACACCTTAGCAGGAGCAAATGAATTCAGCAAATGCTTACCGAGAAACACAAAGAACCCCTCAAGATTCTTCTGTGAAGCAGGAAGCAGCATTTATCCCAGCAGGCTTGAGAAGCCCCCACTGTGATTATGAACTGTCCCAAATTAATTTTTCAGAAATCTAATTTAATGTGAATTTATACTAGAACTAAAGGAAAAACTTGCAATACTATTTATGGTTTTTTACACAATTTGCTTTCAGGTAGTCACTGCACTGGGACTGCATCATAACCAAAGATTCCCACATTGTCAGCCTTTGGAGAAACCCAGTCACCCTTGAGTTAATTGCTAGGGTGAAGGGAACCCCATTGAGAATGCTATTCAGCAGTTGTTGCTTTTTAGCTTCTGTTTTATTCAAACTGCAATGATAGCAGAACAAAAGCATTCCAGGAGCAGATGCATGAAGAGAAGCAGTTCTGGGGAACATCAGCCGAGACTGGAAACCAAAGACAGCAGCTATCAGTAGCTATAATAAGAATTGTACCATATTTAGCAAAGTTTGTTTGTTCTATATGTCAGTCTTCTGTGGCCTCATTTTATAAAGTATGCAGCAATAAAGAGTAAAGTAATTCCACACTGAACCACCTTCCCACAACATGGATCTGAAAGACACAATCCTCTCAAATAGTACAACAGCACTACAACTTTCAAATGAATAGCATTCCAACTATTTAAATACATGCTCACTTGATCAGGCATATTTCTCCTGATACGCAACCAAGCTCCATCTTTGTACATGTACTGAGTTGGAGGTAAGAAGTTTGATCTGTATTCCGTGTTAATTTTCCTAGGAACAAAAAAGTTAGCATGATAGAGATACAAAAATACAAAAATGAATTTGTAACTATCTAGGAATTTTTACTGCTTCCTTATTGAGAAATAACCATTATGTGAACGAATTAAAAACAAACCATGGACAGTGATTAATTTTTAGGAGGAGATATAGTAAGCCTCAAGCCCATCAGGAAGTTGAATCACCCCCTAGGAAGGCCCACCAACTAATTTCAAATGTATAATGGTTACCTTCATATATTTTAACAAACTCAGAAGAACAAACAGGATGTAGCACATTCTAAAATAAATCACTTTTATTATTCATGACAGCCTAGCATTAGGTGGCATGAAGCCACTGCCTCAGCACCTGCTGTTTTGGGATATTTTAATAAGGTAGCAAATTGGCTATTTAAATAACTTACTACCACTACTACTACTTAGTGGTAGGTAGGGAGCAAAGTAACTTGGCTGGTATTGATACACTTTGATAATCTTTGATTTGAGGAGGGGTCAAGACACCACTAGGTGGCTTGTCTCAAACAGCAAAATGTCTGGAGAGTTGCTGCAGTGCTTCATATATTTCAAAACTGATCTTTGGCAATATATGTAGGTTCCATGTATGAACTAGTGTTAGTTCTGGCTCACTTAAACCATGGAACAAGTTCCAAAGGGCATAATCAACCAGCAGCCTCTCTCCTGGGTGTTTATACATTTTCCAAATATTTCAGGTAGCTTTGTGTATCAAAGACCCAGTATCCTCTACTCTTCAAAAATATTAAAACTCTTGTTTTCACAGTTTGGAGATAAATCCAGTTTATTCTGGAAAATTTTGGATTAAATGAATTCTCTGAATTTCTGTTTCACAACTCAACAGTCCTGAGGTTAGCATACTGAGTGGACGTAATGCAGTTGCTAAGAGGGCAAGTTATGAACCGGAAAGTCACTGTTTCAAATCTCACCTCTGCTGTGATCTCATGCAGTGACTTGACTTTGGAAAGCCACACTTTCAGAGTGCTAGGAAGCCAGAAGGGCTGGTATGGTGGGGAGGAGGAGCATTTAGGTTGGGCAAACATTTTAGGGGATGGGCAGATAATCCTTGAATATATTTCCAAAGCCAAAATGACTATAATGATGATATGATGATGATATAAATGCTTTTTAGGAGGATGTGTCTTGTACATAGAATTTCAAAACACAGAGAGAACTTAGTGCAATGTATTTTACTCACCTTAAGCTTCTATGCAAACAGGGTGGCTTAAGTTTTTGTTTGCAGTGTTTCTTTTTTGTTTCCGCTTTGCTTTGCTTTGATGAATTACCGATTGTCTTCGAAAATGTTTCCTTTCTTTCATTCTAAGGCAAAAATACTTGTATGAATGCTTTATTAACTTTTTAAAAAAAGATGTTATAAACTACATTTCTTTAGCATACTGATCTTTGGCATGAACATTTCTAAACCAGTGATGTGGGTTTCATGGAAAGTTGTGAATCAGGAGATTTTGTAATATCCTTAGTACATGGAGATGCAATTTAGAATGTTACTTGGGCATGTCTAGTAAACAGAACTTTATTTTTTTCTCTGGTTATAAATATATCAGTATTTTTCCAAAAGTCAAAAGTATTTGGCAGAAATACCTGACCAGGTAAAAACATTCCACAAAGCACCCTTTGGGCTTCTTTACATGATCCCTCACACAGAAGTCTCTGGAGCCTTTCCATAATATTGTCATTTTCTAAGGCCTCTCCTGAGTTTTTCCAACCCCTTTTTTGTGGCTTTTTTCAAGAGCACAGAGACTCTAATATTTTCCTATATAATGCCAATAGTCAATACAGAAGCCTCATATATAGATTGTTGTAATTCTGATCTATTCCACAGCAGCTCTTTATGTTGTGCACTAGAAATATATAGAAAGAAGGAGAGGAAAACCTCAGGTGGAAAGGGCTTTGTGTGAAAACCTTGTGTGAAGGACACTTCCACAAAAGAAAAAAAAGGAAGAAACCTTAGTAAACCACCGGGTTATATGCCTCATGTAGGGAAGCCCTCAGGGTTTGTTCCTATAGCAGGAACTTTGTCAGCTGAGAATCTGTAGGAAGTGGAAAGGGAGGACTGTTGGTGGAACAGCTTTTACACCCTGCTGTTAGTCCACTTGTAGAAAGTTTGGCAGGCATACATGTCCTACCAGTGATGGGGGATGAAACAGGGTATTCTGGCTGTATACCAGGGATTGCCATCTAGTCCTTCAACATGGTCCACAAAAGGGCCTATTTGGCAGACATCTGATCCCTTAGCTGCCCAATAAATTAGAAGGGATTTGGGTGCAGTGGCTGCTCCACCACAGATTCTCATTCAGACACACAATGAGGTTATTTTGCCCATGTTTCAATTATACATCCATCCTGTACTGTATAATAAATCTCTATCATTTCTTCTTTGTGTGCCTCTCCCTGCTTCTCTCTCTTTCTTCCCCTATACATGTGTATATATGTGCAAACCTTTTTGCACAAATGGGATTTAGAAATATGTTTGGTATCACGTATTAGAGTCTAGAGGAGATTTCACCAGATTTAGCCTAAATTTATTTATTTATTTATTTATTTATTTAATGGTTTTATATACTGCTACAATAGCCCATATCTTTGCATGGCTATAATTCCAAGCATGTAGGGTATTTTACATTTTATTTGTATTCTTTTAATTACATTACAAATTCATTTCATGAAGCCATGCATTTCTAAAACTGGAAAATTTTCCATAGAAAACTATAGTAACAGGGGGAAATCCACACAACATCGTAACTAATAACACATTCCTAAATGTATCTATGGAAAAGTAAATTCTGCTGAGTCAAGTTAAATCACTTCCTCATACATATCCATAGGACTGGGTTATTGCAAGACAATGCTATGCATATTTACTTAGAAGTAATTCCTACCATGTTCAATGGTGCTTACACGCAGGTAAATGTATTTAGGATTTTACAGCAATAAATGCAAATTCTATCAAAGTTATTTTTTTAAAAAAAGACATGTCACAGTTAAAATAAAATTGAACTGCTGCATAGTTTTGGGACTTAGTGAAATCTTCATTGTAGCATAATTTTTAAAAAGTTTTTTCCTATGCAAATACCTAAACAGGGCATATATCAAGTGGGTATAATCACTAGATTAACCCACCCTGCCAAGAAGCCATGTTTGGTTTTTACACAAACAACCCATGATGTGTCCAACAAACAATCAGGCTCACCAAGGACTGTTTTGCCCTTTCTTTTCCTTCATCCTCCAGATAGTGGACTTGGCAGCTAATGCCACTTTTGTCTCCTCTCCCTGCTGCAATTGAGAGTCCTCTTTGGCTTCCCACAATCTCTTTCCCTTTTGTTCTACCCCTATTTTTTCTGGAGATCATGACAGTCCCTCTAATGTGCCCAAGAGGCACATAGGCAGGACTGTTACTAGTTCACAATGCTTTTTAATTTTTGTGCAATTTTTAAATTATTATTTTAGTTGGACTTGCACAACTGTAGAGGAATGCAATTCCATAGGCCAAAAAATAGGAATATCCAGGGTGGTACCTGTTGTCAAAGTACTCAGGTACCAACCCAGGAAATTAATAAAGAGTGGCTCCAAATAGTTTCCTCCACACACACAAACACTGTTTTGACATGATGGCCATAAAAAGGTGATCAGTTAAGTCCAAGCAAACCTGTGAACTATCTTTCTTGCAAATGAGGGTGTCTTTTTCCCCGTTCACAGCAAGCTCTTCATTTCCCCACATTGATCCCACTGTTCCCAACTTTTTCACCCAGTGCTGACACTCAAGAAGATGGAAAATATACCCCACCACATTGCTTAGTTTGCAAATTCACATCCATTCTGTGCAGTGCAGCAGACATAACCATTTCTCAGTTTAGACATCATGCCAAGGCAGTTTGTTTTGCACTGTGATCTTTTGGTTTCTGAGTTTGGCTTGTGGTGTTCTTAATGTTTCCATAGTTATATTTTCTTAACATGGGATTTGGAGTAAAGTTTGGACTGAACCATTCTAACAACAGAAATGCTTTACACACATCTGTTTTCTTAAAAGGAGAATGAACAAGACAACATGTCAAGACACAATGGATTAATAAAAAGACGCATCATTTTAAAAATCTTATTTAAACTAAATACAGCCTCCCCACCCCCACACAATCACAGACACCAGGTCAAGAATTTGAGTTCATGTTAACATTTCATATACAAAAACTATGAATTGAAAAAAATAAACACGTATTTAAAAATTAAATATAACACTGTAATTACCTTTTCTCCAGAAATATTGACAGGTTCAGATTCAGGACATCCTTTCTCTTCCAAACATTTCTGTTTCAATTCTTTCACAGGAAATGAAGGTTTGAAACTCCTCTCATATTCAGTTTCAGAAATAATAGCAGGAGACTTAAAGGGAGGAATGGACTGGCTTGCACTGTGGATAAACTTTGGTGCAGAGATGTTTACTTATTAGTTGTTATAGCTAAAAAAAATTCCTGCAGGGGATTTAAACAGTGGGACCTAACACTGTTTAATTTAGTAGAATATAATAGTGGTTTCCTGTGAATTTCAGTGAAGTTTCGAAATGTCATATCCAAAGATGTCCCAGCACTAGGACTAATAACATTGTGCTAAGGTAAACCTTACTTATGCAATGGAACTTGGGGAACATGGAAAAGTGTCACTGCCAAACGCAGGCAGCAACTTGCTGTTTTTCTTTTGCACTGGTTTCATTGCACAAACATCTGTTTAGGCTAGTACCAGTCAATGGTGGAGTTCACCCCGGAGTTTTCCCTTAATCAGGCATTACAGGACCAACACAGCTGAATATAATCCAAGATGTGCTCCTCAAAAGATAACTGTATATCCACCATGCAAAAAACATTGTACCTAAATGGAATGAAAATGCATTTTTTCATATGATGGGCTGCTGCTGCTGCTATGCACCGTAAAGTTATCACCAACGTTCTGGTGACCTTATGAATGATTACCCTCCAGATATACTAGCAGCATAGTATTTTATGCACAGTTTAATACACTGATGTTGTAAACTTATACAGACTCATCTGGCAGTAAGGTTCACTTAACAGAGTGGGACTTCCTTCCAGGAACACCTGCATAGGATTGCACTTAAACCAAAATTGCATTATAAAGGTTTAATTCCTTAATTGTATTTAGCTGGACTTATTTGTAAGCATTCATGTGTAACACCCATTCCTCAAAAAAGCAATTACTTTTACATCCCTTGAAGGTTACCTTGTCTGCTGCAAGTACTGGGGATAGTTTCTGAGGGGTTTTCCAAACAAACTGCCTTTGATACTCCGAGCTTCTGGGGAAGCTACTTGATCTTGAAATGTTCATGCCTGCTTTCCTCTGTAGAACTTTATCAAGCTGTCAAAAGATATTGACATTGAACTCTGGATTTTTCATCAAATGAAACAGTATTTAATTCTTAAATAAGCAGTACAAAATTAAAATTAATAGGGATATTTACTTGAAGGCAAGGTATGTCATCCCACTCTATAATTATCTCTGACTTTAGCTAATTTAGAAGTTTGACTTTAACATACAGTTTACCTTGCATAATTATAAAACAGTAAGCTGGCAATTACCAGATTGTTTCGAATCAATACTTCAGCCTTCAAAATAAAACTTCAGCCTTCTTAACACAAAGTATACCTCTTAGAATACTATACTGCTAACTTATACCTACTGAACTGAACTGCATGAGCAAACATGTATATGATTACAGTATTATTCCCTTTTTCACTCATCCTTTGGTCTTCTCCCCTCTGAATTCATCTAGACCACTCACTCTTCCAATACTCCTCCTGTAGAAGGCCACACCTGCTCCTTTCCTGGTCCCTGTTTTCTCCCATTCTTCCCCAGGCTCTTTTGCTTGCCTTGCATCTATTAAGAATCGAAGCAGCTCAACCAATGGCAGTCAAGGTCCTTCTGTCACTCCAAACCCGCTGTAACATTAGGTGAAATGTCTGTCATGGGCTTCAGCACAGCTATAACAAAATCTCATACAGTATCAATGAAACTGTTTATTTTTTATATTACATATAGGGATTCAGTTGAACTACTATTATTATTTGTCTTGACTTTTCCTTGCATCACCAAATGAAACTGTAGTAGTTTCCTACCCCATTGTCTGATTTTCCATCATCCTTTTTGGTAGAAGCTAATATTCCATTTTCATGAACTGACGTTTTGGGTGGTGACTTCTTCCTTTCTGAAAGAGTTACAGTTGATTCAGATCTAGAACCTACAGAATTGGAATGAGTTTTCTCAGGAAGCCTGGGTGCATCAGGTGTTTTAATATTTTCATGATTTATATCATCTTTGCTGTCCTTTCTATGCTGCTCAGGGGGCTGGTGAAATTCAAGTTCTGATGATGCATCTTTCTCCGAATCATTGTCCCCATTCCACTCAAAGGACTTTGAAACCTGTGTATTGTAATAAGGCACTCTTCTCTTGGAAATAAAATTTGGTTCTTTTGAGATTCCTGTAAGACATACAATATTAAATATGTGCATTGTTTAAAAATCAAAATTCTCAGTCTCACTTTCAAAATGCACATTTTTTTCTAGGCTGCAGTTAAATACTGAGAGCCAGTGTGGTGTAGTGGTTAAGAACATGGGACTGGGACTCAGAGGATCTGGGTTCGAGTCCCCGTTCCGCCATGGAGCCAACTGGGTGGCTTTGGGCCAGTCACAGACTCTCAGCCCACCCTACCTCACAGGGTGGTTGTTGTGGGGATAAGATGGAGGAGGAGAATGATGTAAGCTGCCTTGAGCCCTTTGTAGGAAAAAGGCAGGATACAAATTGAAAAAAAAAATACAGGAAAAAACAAAGGTGCAAATGGATATTTCATAATATAAATGCCTGCTTTATTTGCTAAGAACACCAATTAATTGTTTTTATTGTTGAAACTCACAGAGGAAAGCATTTTATTGCCAAACATAAATAAGGAAATGGAGGGCAGTAACAGCTAGTGTTGACCAAGCATGTTTTCTTAGAGAACAATTCTGTTACATCCACTTGGAAGTAAGTTCCATTAGACTGAATAAAACTTAGAACACAATTCTATGCATATTTAGACAGAAGAGGTCCTACAACTGGAATGCTGACTGTGACAAGTTTGGAGTTACAGAACTGTTTCAGCCTAAACATGCACTGGACTGCAGCCTTAAAAGCAGAACCCTAAACATACACATAATGGAGTCATACACACAGCAGAAGCTGCATCACATCTAATAAGGCTTTATCCTTCAGTAGGATGGCTAAGCATTTAATTGTTGTAGAGGACTAACCACATCTTTAGAACCAATACATAATACAGGTCACATTTTGCAAGTGTTCATGAATACTGTTTGTTCCATATTGAAAGTTACCCTTTCAAAATCGATCCAGAGCACAGACCTAAAGGATTGCTATCCTGGAGTGCTCTACCATCCACCCATTTCTAACAGTGTATATTATTTCATGTCTATCACACTTTCTTTCCATCTGAACTTCATCATACCACTCTGTACTCCCTAACTGCTAAAAGTATTGCTTTTAACTGAGATTAGCAGCAACTAAGTATTTATCATACTCTTATTGCCATATAAAACCTGCACCAAGACTATGAAAAAAAGTAACTGAATTTGACCCTTATTATTTGGCTCAGTATAATACATACATAAAAACGAACCACTAAAATAGCTATTTCTTGAAGCACTGCAATATCAAAGAGTAGCAGTAGATTTAGCCTGGCTTACCAAGTTCATCTGATCGAAGACCAGCCCACTGGCATTTGTGTTCATATGAAGGGTTATAAAGCTTAGATGGATCTGATTTTCTCCATTTGAAGTTCCTCTTGTACTCACTCAACCCCTACAGCAAGACAAAATGTGCAATGGTGAATGGTACCGTATTTCAGCACTGTCCCCAGGGGAGTTATCTTTACAACTGCTCTGAGACTGTAAAACCCTTCTTACAGATCTCAAAACAGTTTGTTAATTCACTCTTTAAAAGTGGGGTGGGGGGCAGTAAAAGCCCAATTGTTGTAAACTGTCTTGAAATTTTTAACTGACGGGAATTACAGATATTTTGAAAATAAATTTATTTCATGGATACTGCTAGCAGACAGAATGCATGTTATACCTGAAGATGCATGACTGATCTCTGGACTTTAAAAAAAGAAAGAGAAAAAGCTAAATGGAACTGCAGGAATGAGGGTGGCTACTAATCTGATGAGAAGCAGTGCAGAGGACAGACACATTTTTACCTTCCCTGCATATACAGTGTTTCCCCATAGTAAATTGCCTCCCACCTCCTTGGTCATTCACAGAGCTGCTGTTTCCTTTCAGGGGATATAATATAATCCAGAAGTATTGTATCTGTACCCTGCCTGGCACAGTGTTTTTTTATTATGCATACTAGCTAATGGCATATAATTCTGACAAGCAAGGTTGAAATTTGTTTAATGCAAGGAGTCCTTTGATCTCTATGTGTACATACTCTTTGTGGGGTATCTTTATTGTAAAGCAATTTACCCTCTGTCAGAGAGCTAGGCTTTGTCCTAACTGCAAAGGCATACTTTTCTACATATAAATGGTAACCTGGAATCAGTGTACAGCAATAGTGAAGATGGGCTAGAACGTTAGGAGCTTTATATATAACAAAGGGATTGCACAACAAGTCTATCTATGTAATCTATCTATTCCAAGGCCCTGGACAAGTATACTCTCTTCTAAATACTGTGACCTGTTTGGAATCTGAATACTAGTCTGATTCAGTCCTTTACCCTCTTCCCGTTATCTTGCAAATATATGATTTTCAAGCATGAACGTTTGGGAAGATGACTTCTTGCATCTTTCTCTGGATCAAAGAACTTTAACATCTGTATGTTATAATACAGCATTCTTTTTCCGGAAGTAAAATCTGATTCTCTAAAAATTCCTGTAAAAATCTGGTCTCTAGTTCTATTCCGATATTAGCATGTACCTAAAACAGAAGACTTGCCCAAGGTCACACAATAAGTTAGCAGTGGAGAGGAAGCTGAACTCCAGGATTCAAGTCTTTAGATCATACTTTTGACAGAAGCTATCCTTAACTTTTAAGACAATGAGGATTACATCACATGACATTCCAACAAGACACTTCCAGGTAGGAAATGTGAAACCTGCACACAGGTGATCATATCCAATTGCCTTACACCAATACATGCACTGAGAAGCCACAACTGACCACTACCAACTGGAATAAAAAACTCATGCATAAAATAATCAAAAAGATAAAGTAAAACCTGCATGCAAATCAATTCCTACATAACACAGCAAATGTCTCCTATGTAGGATTTTAACAGAGATGGCTACAGATTTTTCCCCTACTACTTTCTAAAATATATCACATTTCCACTTGATTTCACTCTTTGATTTTGATTTAGAAGCCTATGTAATTATTTGCCTAACCACAGCCAGTCTTGAGTATCTATCTTAATTTTTCTTTAGCATGCACATTTCATAACTATCAGCAATACTAGCACCTCACCCAACCCAATATACTTTACTGTCTAAGGAAAAGAAAAAAAATCCAGTGGCAATCCCACAATCCCTCCACCTCACCCTACTCCACCTGCACAAATATTCACCAAGGCACAAGCCACTAGGAAGCTCTCTTACTCTCACACAATCCATTCCACTGAGGTCTGCATACAATAATTTCCCAGTGGATTGTGTCCCAGGAAACAGAAATGTCCTTCTTCCACAAGTTGCTCAGCTAAGATGCTATTGCCTAAGTCCTTCCTTACCCAGCATTGCTACATTCTCCCCTGGCAAGCTCCAATGTCTTCAAATACTGCATAATATGAATATATTCAACCAAAAGAACTATTAATTCATTCATCCCCCTTCCTGGCAAAGCACTGCCTGATGAATTTCTGCCTGCACACACTGACGAACGATAGTAGGGCTTTACTCACCCCCTCCCCCAATTTCCCATGCCAGCTCATCCCAACTGGTGTCCACATGCTAATCTGGGCCCCCCCAAAAAAACACTGGACCGAATCCCACTCCCTGTGGGGCTCCCCTAACGCCCCTCATCCTCTGCGTTGCCTAGGCTCGGGCGTAGCGCTTGAGTGACAGCCAGCAGCAGGACCCGATTGGCTGCCCAAAGCGGAACGGGACCCCAGGCGACGATAATGGGCTCTTCTCTTGAAACTTCTGGAGCCACAGCAGGCAGTACCAAGTACTCGGACAAAGGCGCGGGCGGGGGGGGGGGGAGGAAGCCGAGCATTTGTTCTAGCTAGATGCCTCTGATGGGAGAAGTCCCGACTGAGGATAAAGCAGAGGCGGTGGCAGCTTCATCTCACCTTCCAGCGCACGGGCATGACTCCCCGCCTGGCTGGAACTGAACCCGGGCACTGACGTTTCCCTGGACGGTTACGGGGCTGGGCTGGGGTTGTAAGGAGGACGCGATAGCTGTAAACGCTCTCGTTTCCTTGACGAAAATACCCCCGCCTTCACCCCCGGGCCTGGCCTGCTTTGGCTTGCGGGCTTCGGCGCCTCAGACGCCTGCGCGGAGAGCCACCCAATCAGAGCCCGCGGGCCTTCGGCCCGTGCTGCGTGGGGCGTGTGAGTTGCGCGCTTGTTGGTGTCTCCTCGCCGTGGCCGCTGTTCAGTCCGCTGCGGGAAAAGCGGGCGCGCGTCTCTGAGCCGTTGGCTTGACTGCAGCTGGAGGCATTATCTATCTGCCGGCGGGCTGAAGCAACGCGGGGGGAGAAAATCTCCTCCCTCCCTCAATGCAGGGATTACTTTAATCCTCCCTGCATCGTTCTTGCAGCAGGGAGATTTGGCCGGAATTGCTGTGTGCGTGTTGGGGGGTGGGGGGAGCTATGTTTGTGCCCAGGTTCAAATCAAATCCCTACCCAGCCACGAAACTTATTGCATGGACTTTGTGCTAGTCTCAGTCGTTAGCCTATCCTGCCTCTCACGGTTGTTGTGAAATTGGGGGTCGCCATATAAGCCATACTATGATGCTTGGAGGAGGAGGTAGAGAATAGAAACATAGTGCATATTTTATCTTTCCTCTCTACCCCCATCTGTTTCAAGCTTTTCCTGCTATGTCCTAGCTCTTACGGGACATAGAAAAATAATACACTGCTTCAAATATGTTACTGTATTTAATTTTTTTCTTGCAACTAGGTTTTACTTAAGTTTTTATTTGATTTTCTACTGTAGTTTTTAACTTTTATAGTATATCTTAAGTTGTGTTTGATGGTTATAAATGTGAACTGCCCAGGGAGTTTCAGCTATAAGACTGTATAGAAATATATTAACATACAAAAATTAAGTAACATTTGCAGCACAATCCTTTGCATGAGTATATAAAAATAAATCCCACTGGATACAGTATTTATTGTATTTATTCCACCCTGCCTCAAAAGAGTTCATGGTGGTAAAGATTTTATCCCCACAGCAACTTGCCAGTGTGGTGTAGTGGTTAAGAGTATGGGACTAGGATTCAGGTGATCTGGGTTCTAGCCATGGAACAAACTGGGTGACTTTGGGCCAGTCACAGACTCTCAGCCCAACCTACCTCACAGGGTTGTTGTTGTGGGGATAAGATGGAGGAGGAGAATGATGTAAGCTGCCTTGAGCCCTTTGTAGGAAAAAGGCAGGATGTAAATCGGGGGGAAAAACACACAAACTTCTTTGGGTAGGTTAGATTGAGAAATGGTAACTGGTACAACATTACCCAGTATGCTTCATGGCTGACCTGGATTTAAACCTGGGCAAGGATCCAATAATGCACTACCAGGAGCACCGTTGATGTTGTACAAATGTTGGTTTCCGCCAGGACAATGCAAATACTGGTACCGTTACCAGTAATAGTGGTGTGCTTCCATTGGACCCTTCCCTGTATCTCACCACTCCTAACCAGCAAAGCAACCAAGACTTTTTCTTACTGGGGTCTACTCCAAGGTAAGTCTGCATAGGACTGCAATCTGCAGGTGTAATTCTAAGAATACTTGCAGCCTGACTTCTGCATATTTACTGAAAATCTAATTTGATTGAGACTTGCTCTTAAATGACCATATGATTGCAACACTTCTGGGAATCAGGTTTTTGGTCAAAATAAAAATATGTAACTTTTGTGGATTTTCTCACCTTTGTTGGCTGTCCTTTCTCTTCTCTCAGTCCAATAGGCTCCCCCACTACTTCCTAGAAACAGCAGGCCTTTGCACATCTTTTTGTAACATTTTTCAGTTTGTAGCCTCTGTTCAGTCATCCAGATAACAAATCAAAAAGAACAGAGATAAATATAAATGTTAAACTGCAATGACTGAAGAAATATGAAAGGTGACCAAAAAACACTTTCAGGAATTGTGATCATTTGCTGTTTAATAATGTATCTGACAAATTTAGAGTGCAGCATGCCTCGGTCAAGAGAAGAAAGTGGTAGACTGCTTTTCAAATGGCTCAAGAGGAGAAGTGAAACTGAGCAGAATATAGATTATATGCTGTTTATTGTCCTAATGTTTGCTTCTGGTTGCAGAAAGTGGCTGTTTGTCAAGTATATACACAGATTGTAGTGTAAATAAGTCATCATTGCACCTGTCAGGGGTCTGGTTATTAAATTGTACTATTCACACAGCCCTGCATGTTCTCCCATGACCTATTCATAGAGTGCTTCATAATGTAAGTTTAACCTTTTTAATACAAAAAAGTCAAGTTTACGCACATTGATAGTAACAAAAATTGGGGGGCTTCAATTCTTAGACTGTTGGAGTATTGTTGACAATGCATAGTTCATGTTTGGATACAATATTGAGCTAAAGATATGGCAAAAGCTGTGGGAAAGAAATATTAAAGTAACATTAGCAACCTCATAAAATCTGTATAAAATGTTTTATAGATGGTATCTGTCGCCAAATAGATTAGCTAAGATGTTTCCAAACATGTCAAATGGATGTTGGAAATGCAAACATAAACCGGATACCTTTTATCATATGTGGTGGACCTGTGATAAGGCAAAAAAAATACTGGGTTAAAATACACAAATGACTTGAGGGAATGTTACAAAAACCTCTAATATTTAAACCTGAAGTTTTCTTATTAGACATTGTACCTGATGATGTTGGTAATCAAGCAATGTATCTGATTCTACATGTAACTACTGCAGCGAGGATTGCATTTGCCAAACATTGGAGGAGTGAAGGACCACCTACCGACGAACTGATTTTAAAAAAGATCTTGGACTATGCCAAAATGGACAGATTGACTTTGTCTCTGAAGGAGAAAGAGGATACAGACTTCTATCAAACTTGGAACTCCTTTTATTATTGGCTAGAGAAACGGGACTATGCATAGACTTAAATATGTTTATGGATTACTATAAAAAGTATGGGAGGGCTGACCCAGTAGGTCTGACGCTTTTGATGATTGATGATTTTTAGTTTCTTTTTGTTAGTAGAAAAATAACAAAACTTATTTTAAAAAATGTGCATAGTGCATGCTTCATACATGTGGGAGCATTCTAGCAAGAAAGAAGCAAGCCAGGAAACATGTCTCAGTTAAACCCTGCACAATTGTAGGACATGGAATATATATGCTATTAAATATATGCACAAGAATATGAACATTTGGCCCATTCTCACCAAGTAGTACACCTTTGTTTGGATTCCATTCTGTTAGTCTGCAGGTGGAGGTTCGTATCATCATCAGCTTGGATATGCAGGCTTACTGTGGAGGAGATCCATTGAAATAATTGGGATTGTATTTCAGAGGGACTACTCATAGGAATAAAATGGCTTTTGAAAAAGGGGGATAACAACAGTACTTAGGATTCATTAACAACTGTTCCTCCAGTTAAATCCCTACTCCTTTGGTAGCCCCTGTCTCAAGAAATCACAATCGCCTTAAGATCTAGCACAGGCAGGGAGAGGTCCCAACAGATCATTTCCCTCTGTTGCTCCTCAGCTGTAGCAGCTGCCAAGAAGGCGTGTACTGTATTTCTGCAGAAGTGGGCTCTTGCTCTGAGCATGCAGCACAGAAGCCAAGTCATGTCCATGAGTGAAACACACTGTGTCTGTACTGCAGTGAGGAAAGGAGTCCCCTTCTCACTACACAGCCTAGAAGTCAAACCCTGTTAATGCTATTTGTGTGTTTGATTTGTACCCTGCCTTTCAACCAAGAAAATAGCATTCAAGATGTCTCACAAGGTGCTTAAAAAAGTAAAATACATTAAAACCATTTAAAAAACAACAGTAAAAATCACACCCAACACATGCCAAAAGCCTGCTTCAATAAAATGGTCTTTGCCTGCAAGCAGAAAGATGGGAAAATATGCAACTTCACCTACCTTGATAGAGTTCAAGAACATGGAAGCAACCACCAAGAAGGCCTTGTTTGCTGCCAAAGATGCCTCTGAAGGAAGTCCTTATTGAGGGGCCCTTCTTGAAAATCTTACAACCCAACCAGGCTTGTATTGAAGAAGGCAGTCATTGGACAGATCCCAAGTCATAAAGGGTTTTATAGATCATGACTGACTTCTCAAATTGTGCTCCAAAACAGACTAGTAGCTAGTAAAACTCCTGTAAGAGACCCCATTCAACAGTTTGGTTGCAGCATACCGGGCCAGCTGTAGTTTCCAAATAGTTTTCAAAGGTATGCTCACATAAAAGTGCATTTCAGTAGTCCAAACAGCATGTGTGACTGGCCAAATCAATGGGACATGCAATTTTGTCAGAATTATCCGTTGAGACTGCAGTGCTGTCAACTTGTGCCCAGTGAGTGTGAGAGGGCATGGATGATTGTGGTGCAAAGGAAGGAGAAATGTATGCATGAGAGGGCTGGGCGTGCAAATATTGGGGAAGTTTAGGCCAATCCATGTTCTGTTTTGATCCCACCCACTACCCCCAGTATGTGGGCTCCAACCACTCCCCTGAGAAAAGGCAATCTTCCCTGGTTCTTTATTAATTTTGTCATTGCCGTTATAGGTTTAATATCATGGCTGCAATCCATTTTGTGGAATATGAAGAACTGTAGAACTACAATATTAGCATTGCAGCATTTGATCAGTTAATTAGCTATATCAATTGCTTTAGAAGTTGTTAACCTGTTTGCACTGAAAGGGAGCCTAATCAGACTGGCAATACATAAGTCCCTCAATAATTCAGCAGCATCAAAATATCATTTATGCAAGTAGTTATTGCAAAATGCAAATAAGCAAGGTAGTCCCTCTTCTTCCAGGCATGGAAGGAATGCCTCTTCTAAGAGGAGGCCTTGCTGGGTTACATGCATCAACTGAAGACAAAAAAGCTTCCTGTTTAAACTGTATTTTTAACATATGCAAATACACAGAACATTCCCAAGTCCCTGGGAAAGCATTCCAGGCACCATAGCTTATAGTGGACTCTCCCCTCCTTAGGCCATAACAATTTTATGGACATTTAGACAGAAAAATCCCTACAACTCCCAGTATGCTGGAGCATGCTCAGATCTGTTGAA